GAATTAAGGCTAGAATCACTGCCATGATAATTAACCCTATTTAAGTCTGAACCATGACCCTTAAGGACGTCAAAAGGCACTTGCTTGACAATAGGGGATTCTTCGTTAACATCGACGAACTTTGAGCCTGATGTCCTTCGACGATTAACTGGCATTATAAGCGACACGACCAATTATTTTCAGAAAATCCGTGAACGATTACCAAAGGATTTCGACCAAGTAATACTTGTTTAGAACTGTAGGATCCAAACTACGGTTTGGATGTTGAAGAATAGCCGACCGGGGATTTTTAGACACGCGCCCTTTCCCGTCAAAATCAGAACAAGTAATCGGGTAACTAGCGGTTCTAAACAAATATTATCACCCGGCTATTCAACCAATGATTGTTCAATCAATTAAATCAATCACAACAAATCAACGTTATTCTATCCTGGCTGGATAGATCACACACAACAGGAGGAACAAATCAATATGGCTACCGCCAAGAACAAGTGTCAAGTAAAACAACGCAGATGCAGTTCAGGAAGAAACACAAACTTAGTGAATGCGTAATAAAAACAAAAACTATAACAAAAATACAAATATTAACAATTCAAATGTAATCAAAATACAACAATGTACAACTAATGCGATCAATAGGAATAAAGTACAAGTATATACATGGAGGGATTTTCACCAACACATAAAACCTTCAAAATGGATCTTACAAGCCGGTACTTATGTCTCTTGAAACTGACGAGACAAATAATTATTTCGGAAATCCAGACAGAACTGCTCTTCAGATATCATTAAGCTCAGAAGAAAGTGTAGAGTAAAGTATGTTATGATACTCAATGAATCCCTACAAGGTTTATTCTCTAATATCGACCGAGGTGGATGTGATAAACAGGTATTTTATGTAGACGATGCTATACCATAGGAAGTAAGAAAAGTTAGAACCGTGGTGGACTAAAAGGAAAATTACCACAGTGATAGAAAGTGAACGAAGAGGAATTCATATTGCTTTATTATTATATGTTTCTTGCGAACAACTGCTGATTGTTCCAAGTTATCTACACGACGGAACTCGAAAGAGAAGCAGCGAGAGAGGATCCAACCTAAATGGGCCAATAAAAGACGGTAAACTGGGCGCCTAAAAAGACAAATAAACGTTAATAGTCGGTACACTCCGGCTCAACTAACATTACAAAGAACATTTCTTAAGAAGAATGGTGTAGACTGTAAAAGTGATTTAGACTGTCGCGAATGTAATATTTCACACGTTTTCTGATTTCTGGTTTTCCTGTCATAACCAATTCGTGAAAGATAAATTTATCCCACGATTTATGAGTCTAATGATTGATTTAGACTTCAAGTGAACTACTTCACCAGGGTTGTTATAAGTATGTTGGTCTTGGTTTTGGACCGTCAGTAACTTCAGAAATGCTTCAGGTGTTGTTTGTATGTCTATGTTCAATTTCTATTAATAGAAAAACTTTGTACCTACCTCTCAACTCACACCTGAAACGGAAAACAGGGAGAAGAATCGCACGGAAATACCAGTTTTCAACACTTAATGCCAGGTTCATTCGCATTCACAACACATTCTGTACATCACTTCCATGGATTCCAAAGCATTCATAAATATGAAGATGCCTTTCTGAAAGGGAAGGGTGCTAATTACACTCCTTAGTTCTTCCACTAGTTATTAGTGTCAAAGTGCCAACCAAGCAATAGCATAATGTACACACCTGAAATCCAAATGTTGGAAACTCATGCTCTCCAAAACACATATAAGTACAAATGCAAGCACACTATACATACACCCGAAATACGTGGATCTAATTAACTCCTGACTCTCGGATAATATACTTAAGTATATATGCTACGCTCCGTGTTTTCTGCCACAAGATATATTGGACCTCTACCGACCTGTTCTTCCCCCCAGATTTTCTTAAGGAAAGAATGGTATTGTTGCTGCTAACTTCCTATCTGTCCTGCGGTTTGTTCGGTTGTATCTGCGATGTATTCGACAAGTTTCTGCTTAACAGTTCCAATGCTCTTCCCAGCTTGTTTTTTGCCACAGCATATTCAGCATGTGACTTTGCTTTTTATGCTTTTGCCCAGGTTTCTGTTGTCCGTCATCTTGTTTTTACTCTACGCAATTTCTAAGGGACTTCATAGAGATCCATCCTTTATTCTTGTGCTTCTTTAAGCAAGACGGCTCCGACATTTTGGGTTTTTCGCATCTTTAATTGCCTTCCAGTTTTGCCTTGGAATTTTTTCTTCCTCTCCTAGTAAATCCTGTTGGTATTGAAGTTTGCTTCCAAGAGCTCTATTGAGCTTACTGAGCTTGTTAACACTAGATTATCAAAGTAGGTGATCTCTGTGGATGATTGTGGCATACTGGAGTTGAACGGGAATGATGTAATTTCTAGCTTATTTTGAAGCTGCACCTTTGGGTTAATACCTAAGTTAGATTACCCTTTCGTAATGTTTACGTTCCGAGACCACCTTGAGGACTGCGTAAGACAAACATATTGCTGAAGAAATGTACTAGTAGGAAGAAAGAAATATATAGTAAAACTACTACTGTATGGACTAGTTCATATCACTCAAGTGATCAACCCTTTTTATTCAAGACGTCCGATAGATTTTCCAATGACCAGTGACCCATAGTTTAACTCAGAAATGAGTAAGTCTGATGAGTAATTCGGCTATGACTCAGTGACGTTCTGCTGGCCCTACAACACCTGGAAGCAAGGCTGTGCTAAACTTTTGTAGTACTGCTTGCCAACCTGACTGTTGTTTCTTTGGCTTCATTTTTATCCTGGACACAAGATAGCGATCTGGAGTTACATCAGTTCCTCGCTTAGCGATTACTTCTCTCATAGACTTTCTAAATACTTCGTCCACTTATGTGTGACTGGGTTGCTATTAGCTTCACTCGTCCCAAGAAGTGATAGGTTGCGTTTCCTTACTCCACCGTCTATCTGAAGGACCATTTTCGTCCGTCATATTTCTCGAATACTTCATGTTCGTGTGTGACTTGTAATATTTATTGTCAGAGGTGATTTCATCCTCATGAGCTTCGAATAATCTAGGCTCTTACTATGTGGTGTGATAACTCTTCTATATGAACATGAACTTTTAGGGTAGAGTTCAAATGAATACAGGAATTTTTCCACTGAGGTAGGAAGAGACATACCTCCAATTGGTTCTATAACAGGAATTACTCCAAACTAAACAGACAAAAAAATAATCGTTACTAACGGCTCCGATGTACTCAGGTGACTTGACAACATGGAGTTAATTCACAGCCCAACCGGCCAACATGGGGCGGTGAAGAAGTCAGGTTACGGGTTCTCGCTCATATGCTACATGTTACTTATCGGCAACTGACGGTATTTTTTCCGTCACACATCAATTTTCGTAATATTTGTGCTTGTTACACAGCTTTTATTTCAGTTAATAAATAGTTTGACGCAGTTGTTTCTCACTACCTGGATGAATGTTTGGTCAGCCTAACGTGATTGTTTATAACAATACAGACTGAAGTTAGTGAAATTCATCATTAATCCATTTAAAGATAGACCGTGGTCAGTTTTTCTAGGCAAAAGACCTTCGATATAGGCTCTTCCAATCACTGTGAAGCAGAATTCACCAAGTGTTGGTTCGTTCACCCACTAATTGGGAACATGAGCTGGGCTTAGACCGTCATGAGACAGGTTAGTTTTACCTTAATAATGAGTACATCAATGAAGTACAGTCTGTCCGTTGCTATGGTAATCCTGTTTAGTATGAGAGGAACCGCAGGTTCAGATAATTGGTATATCTACCTGGTCGAAAGGTCAATGGCGCGAAGCTGCCATCTGAGGGATCAAGACCGAACACCTCTAAGTCTGAATGCCGTCCATATTTGCAAAGGTGCACATATCCGGAAAGCTCAGAGAAAATATGAAATGCAGTTAGCACAATCTGCAATCAAGCAGCCTAAGAGACTATTCTCGTACATAAATTAAAGAACAAGGATTAAGGATTGGATTCTCAACCCAATAAAGTAAGAGAGTGAATATGAAATGATAAAGGATATTGGGGTGATGTGAGTCATGACCTTAAGATCATGGCCCACTGCCTGGAGGTTGCAGCTACGGGGTTTGGAATCATATGAGCTATAAGATGAACATTCACCAAGTTAGACACTACAATGTTCACTACAGTATACACAACCTTAATGAGAACTAAGCTTGAAAACTGCGTTCGAGCTACAAGCCCCTGTTTAAAATGTGACTTGGATAACCTGGTAAAAATATAGAGGTCAGCTACCCATGCAATTCCAGAACTCAGATGTTTACCATAATAAGATCTCTTTACCCTGTCCTATCGCAGATTGGGAGGTGATCTGATTTTGATGTGTAGAATACTAAGAAATAACTTTGGATCTAAAATATCTTCCCTTTTTCCTCTCACTAAATCGCGACATCTGAGAGGACACAGCAGGCGAGTAGAAAAACCGAGAACAAACTAAATACCAGTGGCATACAGGCTTTTAACACCGAGTCATCAATTCTTGGAATCTGTTACCCGGAGAAGTAGTGCCGCACCTTCAATTGACTCATTCAGTTGAAGACTAGACAATCACAGAAGCATGCTATAAAAGGAATATCATAGGTCTTAGGCCTTCTGTACTTTCTGCATAAATCGAACCCGAAAGATGGGCTCTAAAGCCTTCCACATTTGATTCACTTTTCTAATGACGATGGTGATGAAGATGGCATTTGTTTATAGAATGTAAGTTGGAGCAACTCTGCGTTAAACATTTTTGAACATTATATAAGTTGCTTGTATACGACTATAGACAACACAGTCTATTATAAGTACCTGAAGTTTGTGCTGATGATGTCGTTCAGAAGAACGATGAAAGCTCCACGACCATTCAGCTCAGAGAACAAAACTTCATCAAAACCAACACTTTTAACTGAACTGACATATCATAAAACAAAGAAAGCTAAATTAGTGTTTTGGGATTTTACTGCAGCAAAAGACTACCTAATTATGAGAACACTTAATATTCGTGCAACCCAACGGACACCCAACAAACCCACAGCAATTAAAATGGCCGCAACAGACTAATCTATTCAAGGTCGTCGTAACGAAACGGAGGGCGACTTTGAGTGAACCTGAGTTTTGCCGTCCAGGTTAGCATAGATGATTCAATTGTGCGACAGAATCCATGGCTTGATCAACCTCATTGGTTTGTTTATAGTCTCGCCAACAAAACCCTCAGGCCATTCTTCATGTATCTCGAGTTCAACAGTTCCCACTGTCCCAATTTTAGGGAAATGGAACCAAAACCCCTAAATTTCCCCAGAATCTCATTACACTTTGGGGAAATCGGCTTACATTTATTAATAAAACCACAAACCTTTTCACGATTTTCGAGAAATTTTGCGTTTTTCTCCAAAATTTCCCCTGAGTTTGGGGGTTTTCCCCTAAATTTCCCCTCATTTTTGCGCTTTTTCCCTAAATTTCCCCTGAATTTTGCGTTTTCCCTCCTTATTAGATACAGTATCAACAAAGTCTACACTCTTTGAATGTCTGTCAATCTATGGGATGATTCTGATTCAGAGGACAACCTGCCAGCTGAATGGGAACAAACTAGTCAGGGTAATTTCATTACGTACTACAAGTAAGTTGATTTACTTGGCAGATTCACCAAATATTTTGAAATAATTATTTCGAAGTCTTAAGACTTCCCGAAAGGCAATTGATTTGTGTCTTATAAAATGATATAGTAGTACTGTTATTACGATAAATGATTGGTATGTAAGGGGTTATTCACTATTCCACGATAAGAGCTAAAATGCTTACCATCGGAGTTAATCAAATTCAACTTTGTTATAAAATCTAAGTGTTGTTTCTCGTGTAGTGTATTTATGTAAAAACTTGCAGGGTCACTAAACTATCACTGGACAGCAATCAAACAAAATGTATCCCTCTCTACGTTAGAAAGTTGGTCACCGGCCTCTGAATTATTTTTACGAATCTTGTCTGTAAGCTAAATAAGTTTTAAAACTAAGCGAAAATATGAAGCGTAAAATGGTCGTTTCCTGTGGTTCTCTTAAATCTATCTACAATGCGTATGTTAACAAGAATACACTATTGGAAACAACTAATCGAGGTTAGGTTTACTTACTGAGGTTCATTATCGAAAGTTAAGCCATACACCAAGTATCAATACCTTACATATTTCAACATATTTAAAAAAAAGCCAACGTAAACATTTAATCTAATTTGTTTATTTTGTGCAGCCGCTTGACTGGACTTTCGCAAAGGCCTCATCCAATTTCAGGCCATATTAAGCAATTACCACATGTGTTGCCCAAAGGTTGGTCTTCCTGCTCCGACAAATCTGGGAGAACAATTTATTTAAAGTAGGAATCTTTGCAGATGTTTTTTGAAGAGTAACCAACTTTTATTTGTAGCCAAATCAATTTTTCTTTATTTAGTAACTCGGATTTAAGTTTTATAAAACTAGTTGACCTGATTAATATATATGGGAAGAGTTGCATCCAGTATGATATAAAATGGTAGCTCCTTAGTTTCTTATACCTCTAAAGATGTGAACTGGAATAAGAACGAGCTTTATTGGTCTCGGTTGAATGTGTTAATTGTATGTACCATTTTCTGTCTTTCGGTTTTCAAAATTTGTCCAGTTCTGTCTCTATTAGTTTTTATCTCATACTAACGCCTGAAACAAAATAATCGGCCGACAGTTTCTTTGTATGTAGGCATCTCTGATTGCAATGCTCTTATTTTTTTGACTAGCAGTTCTTTATAAAGCTGATTAAATAATCATTAGTCTTGGATACTATGCGAAAGTAATTGTTTTCCGATCTCTATAGGTATTGGACAATACACCGAGAATAAAGCAAGGATATGCAATAAATTTATTATAGTCTTCAAACATTGTCGTTTTTGTTTTTAGATGGGGATTTGTAGCTCATGAGGATGATTTTGGGTTACTATGCTTTCTTGTTCTATGTGGTTAAGTCGTGAAGTTCTAATCGTCTTTCTAGACAACGTAACCAGTACTGCTTCAGATAGAAGCGAGCCACTGAGATTTCTCCACAAGTGACTAACAACATGTTTCGTTAAAATAGACTTTTCTCAACACTTGTCTCCACCTTTATTTTGATTGTCTTTTCAGTTAACATAATTCTTGACCTAGTGTCTGTTCATTATTTTTCCCATTTGATTGATAAACTGAATTCACTCCAACATATCTGTTGATTGGTAATTGAATTATGTCCTATGCTACGGAAGATTCTGTGGTCGTGGTTTAACCGACCAGGATTCCAGAGCAGAGATACTTTGTGGCGTTCGACAGCTAGTTGCTGTTTATGGAGATGAAGATGAAAAAGCGGACCTCAGCCTAATCCTCTGCTTCCCTTGTTTAGATACCTGTTGGCTACGTCGAATTAGTCAGGCAGTAAATATGTCTGGCTGGTCTAATTCTCCCTATCGACACATATCATTTTTGGCTTGTTTGATCTTTTTCAAACCATATATATATATATATATATATATATATATACTAATAATCGATAAGCTCACATAATCTAAGCATGAATTTCTTTTCACAAACTAAGTCATTACAATTAACGTACTATCCTTTTTGTCAACTCTTTTTTTCTTTGAAAAAGTTTAGAAACTGGCTGTTCAACTTATTCCGATCCTCGACTTGCTGCTGCTCTTTTGACCCACTCTACAAAATCAATTAGAAGTACTCAATTTAAATTTGACAAATTTTCAAGTGTAAATGATGTAAGTTGGTTCTGTGAACAAGGTATGTAAACTCAGAGTGTAGACTCAGTCATAGTCATAAGGTAGAGCATGACATAAATTTGCGTTGGCTCAAGTTGCCATTTTACAATACCATAACGAGACAAGATTAAGATCATGAATAGAAAGGAGTCTAAACAATTGTATTAATAATAATTATAAGGACTAAACATTACAAATGTTATTCTAGAATGCTGAATGAAGAGCTATGGATGAAGAAATACTGGAACTCAAGATGTAGGGGAAGAATAAGAGTAAATGCATCTGCGCCACTGTGATCGATTCTGATTCATTCCACCTAGAAAACTTTAACCACGTAGTCTGTATTTACCAACATGGTTTAGAGCAACTGTGAAATCATAGACTGACATCTCGTTTTAGGTTTGACGGTCCCTAGCTTTCATCTAACCTACACTTATACCAGCAAACATCTCATTTTGAAGTGGTCCATCATCACTCATACATAATACCTGTCAGTCAATGAAGAGTTACTATGCTGTCAACCGATTTGTCATTACCTAAAACCCTATGCCAAACCTCAGCATCACTTACTCGGTCGTTCCACTGTATGTGAACATTGCTTCAAAGAAAGCCATAATCAAAAACTTACGGCTTACACATATCTCAATTAGATCGTCATCAGGCTTTACTCTAATATACATGAATATTTATACGAAAATTTTAAACCAACCAAGGCTTATTCAAGACTTATTCTATTTCATTGTGATTATTGACCCATATTGCCTTGATTGGTTTAAAATTTTCGTATAAATATTCATGTATATTTGAGTAAAGCCTGATGACGATCTAATTGGAAACAATTGTTCGCTTGTATGTGTTGTTCTGATTTTCACAATGGGAATCTTTAATATTACACATATCTCTCATAAATAATGTTTCACATCTATATAGTAATACAAAGCGAAATGCTGCTCAATCTACGCTTTTCTTAACTTGGAGACAAGTACTTTATTTATTTGGACACATAAACACTGGTACAAGGGGCATCAAGTACATATGCGCCACACAGTGAGGCCAGTAGTAGTTATTATGATTTTTATGAGGGCTGTGATACTTCCCAGGTGTCCAAACCGAAACAAATGGTTTTCTTAAGGAAACACACTTGGAGCCTTTGATCTGGAGGTCTAATACAAAAGGCAGCGGGGCAACGTCAGGAGATGCAGTCCCATGGTAGCCGGTGACCAACGATATGTTCATACGCCATTTGTTCCCTCAGGATCACGGAGCCCATATACGCCATCGGTTTGGAATCAGGGTTTTCCAACTCTCCTAGGTGGACTCTCCGTGTCCACCAACCCGGTTAAAGCACCAGACATTCGCTTTTCATCTTCTCAATTTCGTAAACAACACTCCCGTCACGAGGACGCAGTGAGCAGGACTTCCCTGGTAGTGGCTGTATACGTGTGGTTACGTGAAAGTATTTCGAGGAGTAGCGGACTTTCCCCACTCTCGGTCGTACCAGTGCGTCTGGGAGCATTTTACCTACGTCACAGGTAACACATATTAACATGAGCTTTCTGAATCCATGCTGAGGTTTCGTCAGATACCAACCCTCTTGGGCTGATGAGACTCCCAAGGTAAGTGAAGTGGTCAACACACCTAACTACTTCACTGCCTTTGTTAGTTTGGGCGTTGATGTAGACCAGTCTTAAGGCAACATCGTAAACTTGCTTGCTTTGTTGTTCGAGGTGATCAGATGAATCTGAATTTGACCAGCATTTTTACGAAACAGAACCATCAGGTGTTTATTCCAAGTCGATAAACGAATCTCATCGTAGACCAAGTGAAAGGTTCGGTGAAGAAAGTGTTACTTGCGGGAGCACGTGTATAACAAAACTAAACGAGAATCGAGACAGTCGACATCCCCAACGGATACCACTTGATATTATCAATTCTGATGACAATTCGCCACAAGCTCCGACCATACCAATGGTGTTTGAATAGAGAGTCTTTGGTGCTCCTTTTAGTGCCAAGCATTGTCACCAAACCGCTCGGTCAGCGGAGTTGTGTGGTGTCTTAAGGTCAAGGATTACCACTAGAGAAGTGTAGTGCCAGTTGCCATGTCAACATAGCTTATCCTAGCTTCAGGACAGGCCAATTTTTTCATTCTTCTTGAGTTACATTTTGACCTTATTAATTATTCGCCTATCAACTTTGAATGTTTTTATGTTGCCATACGTGTGTGCATTGTTTATCCTACTCATTACATGTCTGTAAGTTATTTTTGTTTGACTATAAATATCGATTGACGCTTGATTAAATCGAGTTAACTCATTCACCTTCTCCACCGCGCATCAATCCATTTCATTTCTCTCCCTCCTCTTCGCTTCGTCTGATTGTGTACGAAATAACCGTATTCAAACCTCATTCTCGTATTTGACTCATTTAATTGCTTTATTCACTGACGCGATTTAAGTCTATGATTATTTACGAGGGTCGGCGACATGTATATTTCAATTGCAATCATTCATACGATCATAACAGGATCCGATTGGAGTCAGATTAAGGGCCACTAAAAATTCTTAGTGGACTCAAACAGGACTGGATAAAGCGGTTTTCATTATTTAGGACAGCATTATTTTCGACTAAGTTTGTTGTTAAAATGCTAGAATGAAGTTTGGTGAATTGTGTCATGAAACAATGATGTTGGTTTGATAACCCCAGCTGAGTGTATATGGAAGAAGTTGAATGGAGTGAGGAAACGTTTAGTGTGGTTGGTATTATTTAGATATTTCTTCACTAACCAGTTGGTACACTTCTCATTAACAGATGTCGTCCTAAAACTTGTCGACTAATGGAATCGAATGCTGTTTCAAGTTTATGTAGTATGACTATGATTGGACGTCGGTAAGTATGTCTATGGTCGATACATTCACATTCAGGTTTGGAGCCGGCCTAGTTTTCTCAGGTTTGCTATTCCATAGCAACAGCCTTTAACGAATATAGAGGCTTGTATCTAATTTCTCTATCAATCTAGCCGCTAAAATTTAACCACGACCTAGAAAGATCTACAGGGTTAATCTATAAAGTCCCACTTCTCCCCCCTCGTCTTAGATTAGCTGTAGCTTTTTCAAATTCAGTTATAAAGGGACTTACCTCAAACTCTCATTCTGGTTGTTTCGGAGTAGTAGGCAGCTGTAGTATAGTTGAATTGCTTTTTTGAAATGCCTCGCCATTCGTTTGAACTGAAAGTCGTGGTCTTCTCTTTTTCAAAGGTAGTTTCACTTGCACTTAACTTCTCAATACGTGTTTCTTTAGTAAGTCTGGAAAGTTGCCTAGTATTACCTGACACTACAGCCGTTTACATCTCTTCTGATTAACTTTCCCACCATTACTCACGGTCATTGGGTAAACCCTTTTATGTTTACGTTTGAGTTTTGGTTGCTCTTCATTGTTCTTCAGGTCTGAAGGGATGGGTTTCCGAGTATTTATCTACTCAGTAGATGCAAACAAAACTGTTAGCGGGACATAGACTAGACTAAAGCATGCTCAATGCATGATTGCTTTGGTGCACGCTGATTGGCTAATTCTTATCCAATCAGCGCTAGTCGATAGTTGGAGAATATTCTGGATTCTTCTTATGTAAAAACTATAAATATACCGACGTTTTCCCCTATTGTGCTTCCTACTGGCTTCTGACTTGCTATTTGGAATATAATCTTTTCCCTGTTCAACCGTGTTCTGATTTGGGGACTTGTCGAGTGAATCGGTGTCCGAGAATACTAAGCAATAGGAATAGCTGGGTCATTAACCGTAGTAAGAAAACAAGCTATAACAGTGGCGACGGGGAAAAACTAAAGAAAAATGGCGATTTCTTTAGAACAGTTGCGGTTAATATTACAGCACCAGCAGAAGTTGTTAGCCTTGCAACAACAACTATTGAGCACACTTTTCACTCGACCAGAAAATAAGAAATCTGTTTATGATGCAGTAACAGACATTTCAGAAGCATATCAAGTGGAGGGTTCAAATCCCTTTATACCTGAATCAGAACGTAATATTTGTAACGTTTCCGGCTCACAGCAAGAAAATACTGTGCTGAATGCACATGAAGTTGTGACAATACCAGATGATCAGGAGCCAGATCCTGTAGATGATGCCCAGAGTCCATAATCAAATGAAACACTACTGGTACTGTCTAGCTGCGAAAATAAACGTCAGCTCGAACAAAATTGTGGTCCACGTGCTATTAGTCGAGAAAGCTATGGTGACTCGTATTCAGAAAATAACTGGAGCAACACGATGAACCAAATTGTACCAGATGTTACTCAAAATCACCGGAAGACAGAATTTTATATTGAGTCAACTTATCCCATTTCTAATGACAGTGTACCAGATATTGATTCTCAGAATAATGCATATGATTTTGATGAACCTTCTTATAACAATGAGGGAAATATGTCAGCTGAGTCGAATGATGGCCAAAAATCTAATCTAATTCTGTTAGACGTTGACTTTCTTAATGACTCGTTATCAGCTAACGAGATTCATAATGAATTTGAAAATAATGAACTCAGATCAAAGGTTGTTCATCATCATCTAGTCATTTTTAGTGGATTCTCCAGTCAATACGAGAAACATGGGTTAAATAAAGTCCTACTAGTTATAATTTGGAGCCATAAGGACCCAACATTATTTCGAGGAGGAGGAGAATGTTGGAGAATTAAAAGTTATGCATACTTTTTTTAAGAAAAATCAGAACGCCGGGAACAGACATGTCAGTCTCTGTGCAAGGAAAAAGTGATAATTCTTCATTGCCTAGACGATGGACTAATCGAAAGCACAAGCCAGTCACTCAGTTGCAGTTGGACCCTAGCACCAGATCCTACGAATCTGCTCAGAGGGGAGGTGTTAGCGGGACATAGACTAGACTAAAGCATGCTCAATGCATGATTGCTTTGGTGCACGCTGATTGGCTAATTCTTATCCAATCAGCGCTAGTCGATAGTTGGAGAATATTCTGGATTCTTCTTATGTAAAAACTATAAATATACCGACGTTTTCCCCTATTGTGCTTCCTACTGGCTTCTGACTTGCTATTTGGAATATAATCTTTTCCCTGTTCAACCGTGTTCTGATTTGGGGACTTGTCGAGTGAATCGGTGTCCGAGAATACTAAGCAATAGGAATAGCTGGGTCATTAACCGTAAGAAACCAGAGAATTATAACAAAAACCCACTGGTCTTTCTTAACCTTTTGATTTGAATTGGTGGCGGATATCACTGCTTTTTTATAGCTGTTTACATATCATGACAAACTTCAGGATGAAGTTCAACTACTTGCTTTATTAATCCCTCTAAGAATTGGTACGTAAGGGATCTTCCTGTTATGAATTTTGTGTCCAGTAAAATGCGTAGAACATAGTCTGAGTCGAATCATATGCTCGAGAAGGGGTAACGGTCTTCCATCGAGCTTCTAGCAATGTCTGGTGACGATTTGGTCTAATTATGATCATGTTTGTATTGATGTTAGGGGTTGCTAAGTTAAACGGTGTCCTTTTCAGTGCTTAAAGTTTGTACGTTATAGGAATAACATGTTCGAAATTCATTGGGAAATACGGTCGCCGTTGTTTGACTTAGCCTATCACTTGAGTGTTAAAATAACCTGCTACGAGCGCCTGAAAGTCAGAACGCTTTCTGTAAACCTTATCTTTTGCTCTTCCCGAGATAAAGATTGATAAAGCAAACAAAAGAAATACTAGTTAATAAAGAAGAGGACTGGTTCTATGATAGATGATCTAGATTTATGTTTGAGTGTAAGTGGGGTTGTCACTTCCCGGTCCCTCACATAGTGGAAGGCTACTTCTTCGTGAGGTACTTGAAAAGGAAACTGAATTAGGGGTGGTCTTGACGACCTAGGAGCTTGGTTGCAATACCCAAGGGAGAACTGTTCAAAATGTACGGCGCGAAAACATCGAATTTTTGGGCATCAACTCCGTCTCTGTACTCTATCGAAATTTTTAAATAAACTGTCTCATTAATAGTCTAGTAGAATGACTGACTCTTCATTTATTTTTTCTTAGAATGACCTGACCGATCAAAAGTAACGTTTCCCCCCTGAGGTATCGGGACCGAAGAGAGATACGAAAGATCTTGTCCATATTTTTGACACTACCTACATATATTAAATAAGAACCAGTATTGTTGGAGTTAACTACGTAGTTCTAACTAAAAGTGACGAGTTATTGTAATGTTAGTTGGATTAATATAAGAATGAATATGATTTCAAGTCGACCAAACTAAACCAAGATACTAGACTGCAAACGCATAGTTCGGTCTATACCGCTTTGAAGAAGTGAAAAGCAATTATTAAAAATTATTGATAACTATCTAGAATTGATGGAATGGTGATTTGGCGTTCAACTAAGCGACTTTTGACCACGTTGTTGTCTGTCCTAGTCCTGCTGTAGCTACTTCAGTGTGGATACCCGGATGCTATCAATAGCAATCGCACAGAAATTGGTTCGAATTCAAGTACATAGACCTTTACTTGGCAAATTGGTTTCATGTGTTAATAAATTCACACTACAGTGACGTAATACTTGGTGTGAAATTGTACGAGAAAATAATAATTCTCACTTTATAACTTATACTTTAGGATTCGTTATCCAAATATAATAACAGTGAGTTTAGTATGAATATTTTTAAAAAATATTAATCGTTTTGTTTTCATGATAATTTGAGAATATTTTCTTCTGTTGTTGTAGATTTTATTAAATAAAGATCTCCGTGGGTTTTACGTTGTTGTAACAAATTCAGGCTGTGGTCTTGGTTTATCAATCGCAGTTCATCTCGTCCAGTATGGAGCTACTGTTATATGCGCTTGTACTAAATGTCCAGAAAATGCTATTGCTGTATTTGACAAAACAAAGGCATATTATGAAGGCAGTATCACTGTAGACTTAACTTTGAAGTCAGTTAATAAAGAATCAGGTCAACTGTATTGGATACCGTATAATCCTTTGGAATTACATAGCATCGTACAATCCGTTCGTGTGAGTTGTCAAATGGTCATTTATTCGATGAAAAATCTTCAGTCTTTCAAATATTCCGTATAGAGAAGGTCTAAGATGATAGACTTGTGTAGATACCAAAATGGTGAAGTAGTTACGACCATTTACGACACTAGCTACTAATGAAATTTCCTATCTTCGAGCTACAGGGGTGGCTTGACTATAGAATACAGACACACTAAAATGAAACCTTTAGATATAACATTTCTATACAGATTTTCTGGATATCCTTTACATCAATATTTTGATACTTTCTCATAATATTCATCTTTTAAATTCTGAAGTTAAATTAAATTATTAGTTGTTTTTATGAAGATTTTTTACAATTTAAAAGTAACTTTTATGAATAATCGACATCAGTTAATAAAGAAATAAAAGTCATTGATCACTGAAAAGCCAGTTTGTTCTTTTGTCTGAATTCACGAGTCATTTCCTGAAGTTCTATGTAGAATTCATGAGCTATACGGTTAACTAAATTGAATTTAAAGTGGTAATTCATATTGTGTTGCAAAATAACCGACATGAAAATTATTCATTCAAAACTCATTGGGTCACATGTTCTTCGTAAGATCTAATGGTGTTGAATTCGAACATATATGGACTCATGGTGGCACACCACTCAGACAAAACAGCAGTTCATTTTTTACAGCAAATATCTGTTCATGGTAAAAATTACTCTCAGACTAAACTATATTTCACTTTTTTCAGTGAGATATTTTTCTTTAAACTGTAGATATTACAGTCATTGAACTGGCCTGTTCATGCGTGTATCATAACTGATGATTTGCTTCCTCCTTTCGCTGGATGGAATTTCTTTCAATCTTTTACAAGGTAACTGTTATTGTTGTTGTTAGTCTAAGTTTTATTGTGGTCCATATACTAGGTATTCCGAACCATAGGATTTTCAATGTAAAACTATGTATCCGCAGCTCATATTAACGATATAATTTCAGCAAACATTTATAACACTATCATTTCCTCGTAGTTCACTGATGCACATTTCGGCAGTTTTTTCATGTTCTATATTATCGCTGAATAACTGACTGAAATATACTTAAACGTAATACAGAATCTGTACAGTAAAGATTAGCAGTAGCATTCGTTTTCGTAGTTCGAAGAGACTGGTGTATATTATAATGGGTTAGTAGTCAGTTCTTTAAATTGCAGTAGTCTTGGTAATACACTTAATTAATTGCTAAAAATGTATTTTCATCGCTGATCTATGCTATACTAAAAGCTTTTTGCAGAAGAGATTTCAAATAAAATCTATTATTACAAAAAAATTTCATAAATACTTTACTGTATAGCCTGCCCCCAAATGCCCTGGTACGACCGAGAGTGGGGAAAGTCCGCTACTCCTCGAAATACTTTCACGTAACCACACGTATACAGCCACTACCAGGGAAGTCCTGCTCACTGCGTCCTCGTGACGGGAGTGTTGTTTACGAAATTGAGAAGATGAAAAGCGAATGTCTGGTGCTTTAACCGGGTTGGTGGACACGGAGAGTCCACCTAGGAGAGTTGGAAAACCCTGATTCCAAACCGATGGCGTATATGGGCTCCGTGATCCTGAGGGAACAAATGGCGTATGAACATATCGTTGGTCACCGGCTACCATGGGACTGCATCTCCTGACGTTGCCCCGCTGCCTTTTGTATTAGACCTCCAGATCAAAGGCTCCAAGTGTGTTTCCTTAAGAAAACCATTTGTTTCGGTTTGGACACCTGGGAAGTATCACAGCCCTCATAAAAATCATAATAACTACTACTGGCCTCACTGTGTGGCGCATATGTACTTGATGCCCCTTGTACCAGTGTTTATGTGTCCAAATAAATAAATAAAAACTGTATAGCCTGGTAAGTAGTTGTCGTTTCCTTTATTTTTCGAATTATCATTAGTTATTATGTCTAGTGAAGAAGGTTTATTTAGGTGGTTTTCATTTTAAGCACACGGTTTTTAAAATAAACTTGCCTAATTCCTACTTCGTTTTGTATTTACTTTGATTGTAGGATAGTGTCTTGTTTGCGTGAAATGATTCCGTCTAAAGTTTCATCCTGGTTTCAATCTATTTTTAAGCTTGTAACATACTATGAAATACAAGTATTCAATTGGTTTGGGAAAAAGATAATTCCTGCATGGATTCCTGCTTATTCATGTGAGTGTTCTTCTAAACGTTTTCCGTATTTAACTTCTGACGGATTTGAAGTATCAATGCAATGCAATTATTTAGCTCCTGCCTTGTTTTTGGAACGATTGTTAAAAGCAAGATTTGATCCTTTACCTTCTCTTTCAACTACTTCGTCAGACAAAACATTTGACAGCTCAACTTTGCGTGTGGTGATAGTTTCATCAGAGATTCACAAGTAAGCTTCACTGTGAAATAATTTATAGATGTTTAATGTTTACTAACAAATAACTCTCGAGTTATTGGTGAAAAGTTATAATAGAATAAGCTAACAATTGTTTACAGTAGCCTAGTTTTATATTTATATATCAGTGATCGTCCGTTACTGAACAGAAACCATGAAGACAATTACGAAATGCCACATTCATCAATAAAAGTTAAATCTTTTTGTATTTGTGGCTTACGTTATTTACATGATACCTGAGGTAGCATTCTTAGGTCTGGTCCTTCGAATTGGCAATAGTCTTTATTTCTTCACTCACGCAACAGCTCGTTTGTAATGAAAAATCTATCTTGTCTTAAAGAATTCAGATGGCCGACTGGTCTAACTTTTAATGCCGCTAAGTAATATGGAGTCTAAAACCTTGTGTGCTATTCAAAATGTCCAACTTCAACAACCGTACATCGATGCAGATTGGACAACTGGTACGTTTGGCTATGTCTTGGGAAAGCCCTGAGATTGGTGTTCACTTTATGTTAGAGACCCGTACTCAGGACTCTAGCGAAGTACTTCAAATTTACTTCCCATCTGTCTATGCAAAAAGCTTATTTCACGTACGTTTATCCGGGGACCCTACGGCATCTCCGTTTAGTGTGGCTGATGTTGACGCTACATTAAGCTTCAGAAAAATGACGGAACTTATCCATCGGATCCCTGCTAAAATTCACTTTTGTACTGTTGGATTAACAAATTTTACCAGAAGGAGAAGAAACTTGTGTGAAAAACGATGTTTTTCCACAATTTTCGCCTACGCCTCGACTGATTGCATCCAGGAAGCAGTCAAGAATAATTTGTACTACCAGTTGAATGGTCTCAAGAAAGTATGTTCTGCAGATAAGGTAGTACTAGCAGGGTATCTGAATCCACAGATCGGGCGTCTAAGCACAGATAGAAGTCTCTTGAGTGGCCAATGGAAACACGTTGGTTTCACGTCAGATAACAGTTACTGTCTTCTAAAGCTTTGCGCAGACTAATGAATTTCTGGTCAACACCAACTTTCTGTACAGTTGTCGCCGACTTACTAGTTGGCGTCCTCCGTCTGCTTCTTAAGCCTAGATTAAGACCGATTACATCGCGGCCAGCTACCGCTGACATTATTTTTCACAAGACTGTGGTTCATTGTTGGAAAAACTATCTAGACTTTAATTATGTTTTGATTTATGCCTAGTTAGGTTTTTGTGGCCCTCGAACTTCCCATCCTAAACGGGTTGATGTAAGCGAATCATCTGTGGCCTCTGCTGCAACCAAAGGTCAAACTGAGCCTAGAATCAAGGCAAGCCGCTAGTCCATCAAAAAATATACATGGGCATTGGCTTCGCTTACATAACACCATGGAAATGGCGGGTTACATTTCTTATGACTTTTCTAAACGTCTTGTTTATAAGCACTGCGTTTACACAGGCTCGTTGGTTTACTCCGGCTAACTGTGCGTTCGACGATAAACGTAGATTCTTACTTAAGGAAATTGTGCAAAGTTTGTGAGTGGATCGTGCTGACGGGTTAAAAGCAGCAGCTGGAACTGGTAACTATTGAAAGCACCATGAACTCGTACGAACCGCTGGCAGCAGGTAGTCTTGTGCGAGTGAAACAATATGTAAAGTTGATGGAACACCGATCAGTAACATACCGCAATGTCTTAGATGGTGGACGGAGTTTTCCAAAAAACAATATTGCTGGCATTGCATTTAGTGATAGCCAGGACGGTCCGTGCCAATGTGGGTCATGTTTGGTTCCATTGTGGTGTCAGTTTGGCTGTAAAATGTTGGGTTTTCAACGCTTTAGTAACAGCGATTTTGCTCCAGTTGTGTGAAACCTGGTCTCTATTCGATCATTATTGTCTTGAAGGATCACTTGCATCCACTGGCAACACTATGTTAGTGATGTTAAGATTCAGCAGTGACTAATTCAGTCACTGTCACCAACTTGAAACACTGGCCACGGTTACTTGTAGATTTTTTAGGATCGTCATCCCAACAGTTCCCACTTCGTGCAATTATTTCCAGGTGAGAAAAGAGGTTAGATCATAACATGGAACTGTGATATGAAAGTTGTACAAGACTGGCACCTTTCATTCTAACACATCTCCTCCGTTGTGGTCCTAGAGATAGTGCAACTCCGGTTTTAAACGTTATCAGATATAATTCAGAATGCGAATCAATGGTGGCGATTCTGCTTTGGATTCCTTTTACATTCTTTATAAAAGTAAGAAAAACTACCTTACTTAAATGAATTCTTTCTAGTTGTTTTTTTGTCTGAACTGTTTTCCATGTCATACTACTACGGTCCACTTTTTATTTTTGATTATACTCAGCCTCCTTCCTCTTCTATTTCTTTAAAATTTCATTTCCTTATTTGTGTAGCATATACTTATTATGGTGCGCATTTGCATCAGTATTTATATGTTCTAAATAAATAATTGCAGTTTCTATTAGAAACTACTGTACGTAAATATATTTATTTTATGAACTAATATAATTTAATTTGCACGCTTATAATACTTCTGAGAACTGGCCTACATGTTGTGATAATTAGTTTCTTAGGCTTAACTAAGTGACCAGACACATGTGTCGTAACCGGGCTCGTATGATCGGGCCTTCTATCATGAAATTAGTTGTATTATTATTTAAGCTAGATCGGTTGTATAGGTCGGATGACCTTCCATTGACTAATGACTCAGTAACCTTCTTTTGAACAATAACTCAATGACAGTAAGATAACTGCCGAGATCAGTACTTAACTCCTATTGTTCCAGGGTGCAGCTTCCCCCGCTCTTCTGTCCGATAAACAGAATGGAACGAAAGTACGACAGACAGATAAACTTGTTGTACGGTTTAGTTTGTAACTCAAAATTCGTGCGACTATACATACTAGTTGCTTGAATGCATAGCAGCATAAAAAGGAAAATACAATGTACGCAGGGCTACACCATAAGTGAAATAGATCTAATTAATAATTCTGTAGTAAACTCACAGTAACCTAAGGAAGGCACAACACAGTACAGTGGATTATGAACCCAACAAAAACGTAAAAGCATGAGAATATAAGAAAACAATGATTCAAGTGTCTAATACTTATCTGATAGAAAATATGCACTAATTCTCCACGTGTGTGTTCCCCTAAGACAACCATTTGTTTCGGTTTGGGCACCCGGGAAGTATTTCAGCCTTTATACAAATCGAATGATTTATGTGGTGCATATCTTTTTGGTGCTTCCTTGTACCAATGTTTGTGTTTAAATTTAAAAATAATTAGAACATAGGATGACATTAGGTCATAAATTGTTCCTAAATATCGAAAAGGAGATTATACGATGAAGTTAATGGATAATGAAGGAATAGTAAAATGAAAATAGTTTTTAGATGAAGGCTTGTTGTTCTTGTGACGAACATTAACAAAAAGCAATTGATTTCCGTAATAAAATTTGATCAATTAATCTGAAAAAAAAAGTAATAGCAATTGATTATTGAGCACAGAAAATAAAAATAAGGTTGTGATTCACGGTACAATGAAAGCAAAAGTGGTGTTTAACTTTAAACTGGAGAAGTATGAACGTTTTTAGTTTGTATTCCCTCCGAGACACTTCTTTTGATTATGACTGACTTTGAAAAGTGTATCTGGTTGGGTAACGTGAATAGAGTTCACGAGGTGTTCTGTATATTATCTATTGATTGAACTTGAGTAGTGCTAGAAGGTGCGCTTCGAAAGATCTCGCTAGTATCTGATTATGTGTCTTAAGAGGACCCGTCGTGTACTTTGGGACCACTGAGTGAAGATTGGCAAGGTTAGGTATGCAGTACTAGGTAAATACGGGAAATCGATTGGTTTTGTAGTGAATCTTCACCAACTGAGGTGGTTAGGACTTGTGTTATATATGCCCAACCACCTCCTACCTTGATAGGTATGTTGTCTGGTGTAGGAATAGGTTGCAACAAAGCTAGGGGCGGCCATATAAAAACAGTACTGGTCTATTAGGTCAGCGACAAATGTAATGAACCGTGTTGGCAAGTGTTAACTACCTGCTTGGGGTCTACGTGATCATTGCTACTAGTGACTAGGTACTCTAAATAATGACTCAAAAATTAATTCTATTTGCAATGGTTCGTGTTATTCCGTTGTTGATATTTGTGACTGGAATTCGATCATTTTTAGTCATCCTATGCGGATTGCCTTGATATAGCCATTACGACGCACGTTATTAAAGAATAGATGGAATGTGAATAGCAGTGGAATCCAGGACGCTTGTTTTGCCCTATTTGGGACTCATCAGTTTGGTGTACCCGGATCCCAGGTTTGATATTATATCCGTTGCATAAGTGACTGTCTGGACTCGGTAGCTTAGTGGATAACGCAATGGCGTTTGAAGCAAGCGGTACTAGATTCAAGTTTCGGAGTGAACATCAAATATGGGTTGCACGTACACTTAACTGACGAGTCCCAAATCAGACAGGATAAGCGTCCTGGATTCCGCTGCTAATCACATCCCATATATTCTATGGCTCAAAATCGTTTGCATTCTTTCTTTAGATCCTGAGTTTATAAATTCACCATAGTTCTATATTTCAATTATTTGTATTTTATTTCGGGTCGTATCTCCGGTGCATAATGTTTTCTATTACTACTAATACTGTTACTACCTCTACTACTCTGTGATTTGCCCTAACAGCTTCATACTACAGTACTAATGGTCTATGGCAACGCCGACCGATGTACCTGTATACGAGGTTGTATGATGGGTTTGACTGACTGACTATTACCATTCTTTCGATTTTCCAAAGCATCAAGGTCACCCATAATCCTAAAAAATACCTACCCTTGTACATAATTTCGCGTTCGGAGTGCAGGTTCTCCTATGCTTCCCGATTTCTATTTTGGTATCAAGATTAAGAGACTTCTAGGGACTAGGGAGTCGGCGTCTAAACGTCCAGATACAATGCTTATCAGCCATTGCACATTTAATTATGTCTTAGTATCCATAACCTTGTTTGCCAGTCTGAACTCTATCATTTGACGCTTAATATTTTATTCAAATGAATTTATTTTTTAGAGAGAGTAATTTACAACACTGTATTAAGAAACTGAATATAACAAAGATGTTTCAGACAACCCCAACATTATTGCATGACAGTATGAGACAATATGCGAATTCCAAATTATGTATGTTATTATTTATTCGTGAATATCACCATCTTCTTCGTCGCTTTAGTGAAACAAGCACAACTTCATCCACTATACCTACAATATTTACTTGTACTGGATGTGATCCATTTAGTGTGTATTGCAGTAAACAGTTTTTAATAAATCTTTATCACTGGTCTATCAAAAATCCATTTCTTTTAGTACTACAAATAGTATACCTTTTATCAAGACCATTTGGTATGTCTTTGGTAAGTTGGAAACTTTTTATCTTCTAATTACTGTTTACTATTTAAGTAGTTGGCAGGAATAAATGCACATGTTAATTCACATGATTAATTAATATTATAAATTCTGTTCATGTTCATAGTTTAACATTTCCATTAATCTGTTTAAGTTGAATGACTGCAGTTTATGATACATCAAACGCATCGTCCATACATATGAGTGTTACGTACAAAATAATTCAGCTAGTAAAATTACCTACAACCCAGATTAAATCCTTGTACTTTACCCCATGTACGTACAGTTGAATTTTTTGTTAGCCCTCATTATAGACGATATGTGCAAAAATAAACACTTGGACTTCAAGGGACAGAAAATAATTATGTAGTTTTACGGACCCTAATTTGGGTTTCTTTGTCTATTTTAAAATGTCAAAATATTGCATTGGAAATCCCTGTAGCAGATATCAACTTGATTCTGTGATAAAAAAAATTGACAAACAGTGAAAATCACCGAAGGGTTATTTCTAGGGGATAAAATATCTATGGGATAATTCTGCGAGCCCAACCTTCCAATTTGATATCTGAACAAATGTGTTTTTCAAATCGAGTAGGGACACTACATACATAACAAGCCAATGTCATGTTATTGATGAGACCTCTAAGTCAGGATAGAAAATTTACTACACACTCAACTATCAATGTACAATCTGATTCTTGATGTCCGAGCAACAAAAATAATTAAATAGGAAAAAACTGCTCAAGAAGCTTCGATTTCCGTATGTTTGTGTTTGAGATCCAAAGCGTTTCTCCAAAATGTCCAGAAGGGCCCTGAAAACTCTGGAAAATTTTTTATCCCATCAACGCTGGGTAGGAGTTTCTCAGAATAATCTAAAGTGGAAATTCACGTGTCACACTTCTTATCGGATGATTACCTATTCTGCTACTATGTTCAATATAGTTCCGGAAGCTCAGGGCCATCTGAAATACCCTCAATTTTCTATATAAACAAGTTAACCTTGAAGTAAAACTTTTTTCACACTGCACGCCGTTTCTCTCGTGTTCACGTTGCTTATATTTAACCTGGGGTTTATAAGGAGAGCTTAGGAAACCGATTTAAGCGTTTGGTCGGAAGAAATGTTAGTTTGAATAAGCAACACAGCTAGTTTGTATTTATGTATATACATAATCATTTAGCATAAATGAGGGCATAGACTTTGGCAAATAAATGGCTTACCTATTGTATATCATCGATGCTATAAGTCGACTGACCATAATATTGACATGTGTATTTCCCTACATCTTATCCAGTTTTTTCGTTCTGCCACCATTTATTGTAATAATTGTATAGCATAAACAAAAAGCCCTGTAAAACCAGGAGTGCAAAAAAATATAACTAAAAAATATTTTGTTCTTTCGTCTTATCTTTGCGTATACTTTCGTTAGGATCAAGTGATTGCTAATCCTGTACTTTGTACTGTTCACAGAGTTGCAACTTTGCAACAATCGATAACTGCTCATTCTAAACTGATCCCATATTTTGATAAATGTCAACCTTCCACTACTTTATTAGATGATCTACCACTTTTTGAATTGGATTTTTTATCTAAAACTATATTTACCGATACCATGAGTATTTTTTGTAAATATGAATAATAAGAATGTAAATACGTAAAATCAAGACGACAACTTTTTTCTCTTTCATGTTCATGTTCTTCAATGTACCTTAACAACTTACGTTTGAAAGTCATTTGATTTTTGTTGTCGAATTCATCTTTCATTCCTTAAATTAAAACATGCATTGGTTAGTTTATCGTATGTATTGATCTTGAATTTATTCGAAGTTTTTAAAAACAACCTTTATTACTATAAACAGTGAGTGTTTGGGATAGTGATAAACTCAAGATACTACCGATTTATGGTGTATATGCACAAAAATGCCTAGAAAAATTGATGTTATGCAAAATGACAAGTAATTTGACCAATCAAACAAATGTTCATTTAATGTAACCAACGGGTATAAGTCATCGCGAGGTTGGTTTTAATCACCAGTAGTAGCATTTGACTCAATATTCAAAAGATATCAACCTAATCACAAGAAATTTGTTCCAAGTTCCCGTAAAATGACACAAAACGCCTCCCCAGTTCGCCTTAGCACTGGTTTTACAGCCGTTATCGTCTACCAATTAAAAATTGCATTCTAGTTCTACAAGTCAGCGCTTTCTACTTTTGAAGGGTTAAGGTCGTTTTCTTATATAGTGCTCTCTCATATCCAGTATCCTCATTCAATTATCCGTAAATTTGCGGTTATAGTTTACTGTTAAAATGGTGATTTCAAATTTGTCAGAGTTACAAAATCTAATTTACATTTGGCAAACTAAAACCGTCATTTTACTGGTGCATCGTTAGTGCTCAATAACAACGTACCTAGCAGAATACTAATATTGCGTTGCGGCTATCACCCTAGTATTTATTCATGCTTGAAATCAGACGATATTAATACTACAGTGATAGAATTGAACGATTTTACGGAGTCCTAATTATTTCGAAGATTATTTTCGCAAAGGATATAAGTCCCTAGACTTTTGGAAAGCATCGAACACTGGACAGTCGTTCTTTGGTACTGCTCGACAAGTCACTCTTACTTTATGTGTATTCAAACCGATGACATTCGAATGTAGTGGAAACAGTGTTAGCATTAAATCACCCATGATCGATGTCGACTTCTTAAATGTTTACAGCTAAATTTATTAAGTTAACTGGTATATTTCTCGACCACATAGGTACGATATTTTGATCGAAACGAAATAGTGAGTAAGTAAAACAAACCATTTTGTTGGTTTTCCTAAAATCAACCATTTATTCCAAATATTTAGCAGAAACCTTAGCTTCCCTATCGGTTGAATTTCTTAGTGACTAACTTAGCTGTTTTGTTTTCTATGATATTCCAGGAGTTACTGTTCTTTTTTTATTACTTTCATACTCCATCCAGTATTTTTTGAGTGAATAGAAAATCAAACATCAGGTTGTACTATTCTCAATTTTATAGATAAGGGATTTTGTTGAAGGATCTTTTCTTAGCCATATGTTCGGACTAAAGTGACGTAAACGAGATTGTTGCGTACATATATAGTTGGTACCTTTTGGTTTAGAGTCCCCTAACTTGTATCTACTAACCATAAAAACCTTCACTAAATTTTTAAATTTCAGTGAGTCACTAATTTTATTTGAAGTTATGGTCTCAGGAATCGCATTTTCTGCGTATTTTATACTATTTTGGTCTATAGATTCAGATCCTGGAATCAAGATATTTAGTCTACAGACGGCTTCTGATTGTTATGAAATATTGTTGTCCTTGATAATTGCGTTGTACGTTATTGTGCGCTTTATTCTGATTACTAAGCAATATCTTCGTGGTTTTATTTCATACTCAAATAATATCCCATTCGTGACTGGTAAAGCATATTTGAACAGATCTAGAGATTGCTGGTGCGTACATTAGGTTCACTACAATAACAACTACTATTTATCACAGTTGGTGTCACGATGGAGGACACTAATTCAAGAGGGAAAGTATTTTAGGATTAAATGGAACTAATTTTGGTTCCGAAAACGTACAACTTGCCATAAATACCTACGCTCAAGTGTTCGAAATCTCCATAACGGTACATTCGAATAAAACCAATAATCGAGGCGCGTGTTATTTGTTAAAAAGCCAAATTTAATAATGGCCTTGCAGTATTAAAAGTAGGCTTTCAACTTGTTCGATCAGTTCATATCGAAATAAATCGTTTTAGAAGAACAAATGGCACAAATATACTCAATTTTACTGAATCAACGAGGAAGTTCTCAGTATCACGCTCTGTTTTCTCTATTAAAGAAGTGGCCATTAATTAGTTAAACTGGGTTACCGTATAATACTACAATCGTGTGACGTTAATGCCGGCTAAATTCCGTACTTATATTTGGGAAATGTTTCGAAATGATTACAGCTCTAAGAACCCAGTATTTCAGTCACAATAGATGGTTGTGGTCAGATAAACGAATTTGTTACCGTTAAGATAATTTTGATCAGGAGTTAAAAATACTTCTACAGGTAACTGACCGAACAAATAAATGTAGATAATCTAAAAACGCCTTCCCAGCATTTTGTAGCTGAAAATGTAACCGACTTATTGTGTTGCAATCTACAACTACTAAACACATCTCTTTACAGTGTGATTCAACCTGAAATTCTGCTTTTGTTAATCTCGACGAAATCTTACATATCCTATCGGTTGTTCGGTCAGTGATTCTTGTCAATTAGGAACCAAACAAATATGACTTACAAGCTACCTAACACTTGTGATCGTGGAATTAGTAACACTTTTTCATTCGTTATCATTTTGCAATAATCTCGTGATTATCGTTAGCCAGCTTATTGTGTACCCGATCTTCACAGAACAAAAGTGCTTCACCTTACCAGTTGAGTATGTCTAAATACCCCGTTATTAGTGAATCGCGTACATAAGTACCAATAAGATCTTGAGCATAAATATAGCTGACAGATTATAGACTACTCTTCCGTACAGTTTTTATCATTTACAGTTACTATCCGACTGTTTTCTATACTGTTTACTGACCATAAAGCCAGCACAACTTTTGATGCCATGTAGAATTTCGATGCTTTCTTGTTTATTTTGACCGGTCTAGTTGTAACAAGAGTAATCCTGCTATATGAGTGAGATCCATCTCAAAATCTGGGATTCAGAATTCGAGTTGAATCATAGATAGCGGCAGTATGTTAATGGTTTATACAACGCAAACTGAGCAGTGTAGGTCATTAGACCCTGCGTCTAGATAACTGACTAGGCACTCGGGGTAAAAGACCAAAAAACGTAAGAGCAAAAGCGATTTGCCTGAAGAGTTGAGAAAATGGCTATTTATTACGCTTGGAAACCGTCGCATATGGTGTAAGTTGTTTCTCTAGTAAACAAATGATGGCACTGCAAGTATACAGACAATTGGTGTCCTTATATGTGGTACAGGTCTTGCATGGGGAAACCAAAGTATTTTATTGTTACCAGAGACATAAATCTCTACCAATTGCTGCCAGCAAACGTCACAATGTAGCTGGAGAGTCTGTGGGGATATAAACACAAAACAATAAAACGTCGGTCTGAACCTTCGGGAAACTATTGTGTAGATTTACTTTCGAATACATGGTTCACGGATGCCTGTGAAATCCGACGTTCCAGTTAAAAATGTTCACCACCAGTCTTTATTCGATCTTACTTCACGTACAGGGAAGGCAAGATGGATTAGTAACTTTAGGAAAACTGATATATACATACTATGGCAGAAAAAAATTACAGCTTCTAAAATCAAGTTTTAGTTCACATCTTTTCAATAATTAACTTGCATGGTTAGTTGGGTAATATTGATGCTAACTGGGATTTCTGCGAATTTGATAGGTAATCTGGAAAAACGACCTGAAATTCAACTATCATATCGCCAAGGCGACTAGGTTCCTTCAAAAAGGGAAGACCTTGGTGTGGAATACGTCTGGTTGTCCCAGGTTTGATAATTTCAGTGAGTTGGATGTTTATTTGTCCTTCATCGATTGTTGGTATTGATATAGTACCCCCACAAAGAGCTTGTTTTAGGCTAATTTTAGCCACGTAACGTACATCGCTACCTTCACGCTTGAAATGTTTGTGTGTTCGATCTTTAACAACGAAAACAACGTCGGCAGGAACATTGCCTTTAATACTCTCATCACCCTCCCGAGGGAACGTGATTTTTGTACCAGCTTTCCAACCTTTTTTAACTTCGATTTCAACCGTCTTTTCTTCCTGACGAGTGGTTTGTCTGTCTGGATTCAAACGAGCTCTCGTAATACGAATTTTCTTAGTCGTTCCATGAAGAACGTCTTGAAGCGAAACTGACAAGTCATGATAGATTGGAGGATCCTGTTGAGGTTTTCGACCACCTGTCGTGCTGACATTTCTAGTTTCAAAGAAACCCTAATGAAAAGACGTACGTAAAAAATGAAGCAATAGAATTTACAAGTCACTTAAAAATGTATGAGGACTTATAGATACGAGAAAGATGTTACCACTCCACGAGTCAAGGTTTTTCGGTCTGAGATCCAACCACTGGGTCGCGACTGCATGAGACTGTCAGGTTATTTGGCGCACAACTACCTGCACCGTGTCAACCACACCGACATTCCCTCAGTTCACTCAACTTCGATACACACGCAGCTTAGGTTATCTAACCAACATCATTGTTTCATGACACAATTCACCATACTACATTCTAGTATTTCAGCAAAAATCCAAGTTGGAAATAGAATGCTGTCCCAAATAATGACAATCACTTTATCTAGTTCTGTTTGAGTCCACTAAGGATTCTCTCTAGCGGTAATCCTTGACCTTAAGACACCACACAACTCCGCTGACCGAGCGGTTTGGTGACAATGCTTGGCACTAAAAGGAGCACCAAAGACTCTCTATTCAAACACCATTGGTATGGTCGGAGCTTGTGGCGAATTGTCATCAGAATTGATAATATCAAGTGGTATCCGTTGGGGATGTCGACTGTCTCGATTCTCGTTTAGTTTTGTCATACACGTGCTCCCGCAAGTAACACTTTCTTCACCGAACCTTTCACTTGGTCTACGATGAGATTCGTTTATCGACTTGGAATAAACACCTGATGGTTCTGTTTCGTAAAAATGCTGGTCAAATTCAGATTCATCTGATCACCTCGAACAACAAAGCAAGCAAGTTTACGATGTTGCCTTAAGACTGGTCTACATCAACGCCCA